CCCCAAAAAAAAAGAAAAGAAAAGAAAAGAAAAAGAAAGAAGAAAAGAGAAGGTGAAAGCTAATGTACGGGAAAATTATAATTAAAAGAGATTAAATGCAGATATTATTTTAAAATAATGTTCTGTTTATTCAATCTGCTTCCAGATCCGTATTAAAGGATTGTTGGTGTGGGTTAAACTGTTAAAAAATCTTGATATAAATATTTTGATAAGAAACAAAACTTCATTGATAATTAAAGGAAAGTGCAATAGAGGACAAGGAGTCCTCACACAACAAAATCAAAAGCACAATAGACAAAACAATATACATTATTCAAACTGTTTCTTATCAGTTTATCTTTAGGACGAACTGTAATCTAACCTCCATAAACTTCTTCCTTTTTTCGAGAAAGAAAACCTTAACTATAACTGCAAATTGTGATATCCCCAACACACGAACAATGCCAACTTCTAATCAGCATTTTTATACAAGTAAAGATGAATACGATAAAGGTGCTAATCTTTCAGGAAGAACAGCATAACAAGCACATCCCTGAGAAAGAAATCAGCTAAATAGACCAGCGGGAAAGGATGAAAATTATTAACTGCTATGTGATAGGGACTTACCTCAAGAACGAAAGCAGCAATCCAACCAAAGTGCTAAAAAGCCAAGCAACAATTCCGTACTGCAGAAATGTGGAATATAAGAAACCAATCAAAAGTCATTTATACCCTTACGAATGTCAAAAGTTTACACAAAAAAGGAACGAACAGATAAGGTACAAAGTACAAACTAGGCATGCATTAATGGAATAAAGAATAAGGTAGCTACAATAATTAGTCAAATACTACAGCCAAAAGAAGCAGAAAAGGAAAGCAATCAGCTGAAGTTCTTGAATGGGGAAACTAGCGGCAACAAGGCCGGGCAACAGAAACTTCCCCCACCCCTTAAGAATTCCCAATAGGTTTGTTATACGCAAACGATCAGCCACATATTTAACCTGCTTTTACTGACCACTACACCAAAAAGACAACACACCAGACCAACACCACACCCTCAAAACTTGTAACAGTAGTAACTTGTCTAATGAAGACTGCAGTTTCATACCTTGCGGGATTTTGAGGGCATGGCCATTTCTTCAGCTTGAAGTGACCGGTAAAAAGCCATGATGGAGCACACAACAGGAGATAACAACAGTACCGCAAAGCCAAATTCAAACTAACAAGCAGAGTCCCACAATTATATGTTAGCAGATATAAGGACAAATTTAAATCAATCTCAAGTATGTTTATCCTACGTGAGGAAACAAAGACATAAACCATCAACGATAAACCGCCTAAAATACAATATATTATCGTAAGAAAGCTGCGTTTACCTGTTGGTGAGTGGCATTTATTATTCTGATTGTCTTCGGACGGAAAATTGCGACAAAAACTGTTTCGAGGATAAAGACAAAACTAAACAGGACCCAAGCTCGCTCTGGGATTCCTGCTACGTGGTGCAAAACGAGTCTGCATAGTTGAAGCCATTTTTCAAGCCCGTGAAGTCTTAGTTCTTCCGATAAAGAGATTTGATTAGGTAAAGCATTCTCAACACTGTTGGAATCGATAATTGTGATATCAGTATTGTCACGATGATCTCTATCAGCATCCAAACTACTTCTCTGAAGTAAGGCAAGAATAGTTGGATCCAAGCTCTTCTCTTTCAACATCATAGCGAAGTTCGGATCCAAGCCTTTATCTTGGAGTAGGCTAGCAAGTTCACGATCGCCTTGTCTTGCCCTTCGCTTCAACATAGATGTGATCCTTGGGTCATTCAACCTTTCTTGCAATGCCAAAGCTAAATTCAAATCTAAAGTTTGTTGGTTTGCAGAGTTGGACGTGCTAGATTCACAGCCTTGGCTTTCAAGACCACTGCTAGAACAAACCACCAATGAGTTGTTTTGATCAAAGTTTTTATCAATTAAGGATGATCCTACTTCTTGCTCTTGAAGTACTGAACGACAAGAACTACTACGTAACGCTAAACTTGGTCTTCCACTATCTATGCTCTTGTCACTATTAATCCCCTCATGAGAACTTGCCGTTCGACACAGAATATTATTCCAATTGTTCGCATCAACCACACATTGCGTTGTGCTCCTGTTGCTTAATTCAACACCATTACTAAGAGGACCAGCTTCAACACTACTACTGCGTTTCATACTTGAGCCGCAACCTTCAGATGAGCTTGATGAACTGTTCTGCTCTTTCCTACGAAATCCCTCCCTAAGACGAATCACAGTGCTTTGTAGGGCATCTCTCCTTGCAGCCAATGGATTTGTCACGGAAAAATGACGAGAAACAAACGCTCCTGATAGCACAGATGCCACAACTGCATAGCTCACACAATGCCCCAAGTACCTAACAAAATTGAAAAATGGCAACAGCTTTGACAACCGTAAACCAAATTTGAAGGCATTTATAATTAGATCTGCAATGTAATAACGAACCAGTAGTGGACTCCAAAGCAGATAAGAAATACTCGTGATGTGCCAGCAACAAATAGTGCTACAACACGACTATGAAGGAGCTGGAACCCATACAAGCATGCCCCCATGTTCCAATCTGTAGAATTGTATATAGACAAGAATTCATGTATAATGCCTAGAATATCGATGTTTATCCCTTTCATAACTCAGAAAATTTATATATGAGAATTAAAACAACTAGAAAAAATAAAAAAGACATGTATATTGTCCAACAAACCAAGAATGATAACAGCAACTGATGTGGTAGCTCCAAGCCAACGTTCTTCCTCCGCAGTTAGACCATATAAGATGGAGTATACAAGAAGCACCAAAAGTGAACCAAGGTAGAGCAGCAAAAGATGTGAAGCCCTGCACGCAAATTACAAGATTTAGGGAAGTTAGGAAAAAGTATTGACATAAGATTGAGATTAGAGAAATATGACTATGCACAACAAATGCCACTTATCAATAAACATAGTTAAAAAAATTTATTCCAATTAGAGACTGAACCAAGCGTGCCCTACCACTTGATTTGGTGATAAAGACTTGAAAAGGGGGAAACAAAATGGAGATATCAAGACTTCAAGCAAAAGTACACGAATTTTACAAAAATAAACAAAGGAATAAATGCTTTAAAAATTAACCAACTACTTTCGTCTTGACACTAATCCTATAGCCAACTTGGTCTCATCTAAAATATGTTTTCTATATATACACATACATACATATAAATGTATGCTTATATATAGTAATGGAAAAGTAGAGAAGAATTTTAAGAAGTAGGCTGATAAAAGAGAGACAACAGCTGTTGGCAATAAGAAAGACGAGAACACTGAAAATCCTAGAGATTAACTTATAAATTTAGACAAAAGGAACATAAAGGCATATAAAAATTTGCTATTAGGACTTGCCTGCTAGATTGCCGAGGATATAACTCATTAGGGTCTGGTGGTTCTGGTAAACAAGCCACGGGACCCACTTCTATACAATCAGAATAAGCAAATTTATATGCTTTCCTTACATATTCATCCACATCTAAGCCATTACCTGCAAAAATTCATAAGAGGAAACTTACCAAAAGAAAAGAAAGCAACGCCAAAAAGGAAATTTGTAAGGAATAAAAAAAAACTAAAAAACTAAAAACTAGATATTATTTAAGTAGTGAGATTCACTCGTTGATTCGAAGCTTAAAAAAAAAAGAAACCAACTCCCAGAATGAAATTTGACGGCAAAAACTACAGATAACTAAGACAGTGAGATTCACTTGTTGATTGGGAAGCATAAAGCATGGAAGCAAATACCAAGATAAGATAATTGAAGTACCATTAAACAAAATTCTACATATGAAGAGCATGTTGATTGCTAAGGCAATTGCTGATACACCAAAGAAGAAACCAGAAGGTGAATATCGCTGAGATGCCTTTGCACCAGCTGTAACATACACGGCACAGAGTTCGTATGCACAAAGAAGAGCAACTGCTAGAAGTAGAAGAACAGCAACAGCTCCTGTAAAAGTAACATTGAGGAAATCAAGATAGTCTTACTAGAGAAGGTCATTCAAAAAAAGGAACCCTAGAATGCTACAAATGATTGATTCATTGAGCAATGATCTTTCAGAAGCATGTTAGGCTTGAGCAAAGATCTTTCAGGACAAGGACTTTAAAAGCTTATTGCCTCTGACCTTGTTAGGGATTGGGATTCCTCATTTTTCTGCTTTTGCAAGGAAATCTATTCCTCTTTATCCCTTGTACGTAATTTTTTATTAAGAAATTTTTGTTTCAGCAACAAAAAAAAAAAAAAAAAAAGATATTTCAGAAGCATGATGTCTTCCGAAGTAACTAATTTCATCTCTTGTCAACCTACAACTTCAGTAGCTTATGATTCAAATGGATATCTGATTTTATAGGATCTTGAAAAGCCCAGATGTTAAATTCCCAAATGGCACATGTAAACAAAATAATAATAATAATAACAATAATAATAATGATAATGATAATGATAATAATGAGCATGAAAGTGTAAAACCGGTCCTAATAAATTTATCTTAATGTCTATCTTCTAAGGCATCCAGGAAAACAAAAAATAAATTACTGAGATGTCCGAGCCATTAGAGCGGAGTTTCACAAGCTTCTGTTACTAACCTGCTCCCAAGGCTCCCCCATAGAAGTAAAACAAACTTCAAGAAGGATATAGGACGTCAACAATCAAAAGAAAGCACTTACAAAGAACAAATACTAATTTTTTTTTTTCCCTGAGAACATCAAAACTAACGGAGTACCTCCCCAGTCTCATCAATTAATATATACCTAAAAAAGTTCAACGTTTGTGTTTAAGCTGGTTAATGAAATAACACTGCTAGAAAAGAACACCTGTTATTTCGATCATATTTCAAATCAAATATTAGTTTCTGCTTTTCAAATCAAATCTTAGTTTCTGCTTTTCATGCTAAGGCATAGGACTAATCCTCCCATTTCTCCAAAATTACTAAAACTTGTGCTCAGTTTACACCTCTCAAAAGATACAAATGGGTTAAACTCCTATCCACGGACCATGACATTGACTCTTGTAATTTTGCAACTATAACTTGGCACTCACACAACAAAGTAGTTCAAGCGATTTGCATATTTTTTGTAAAACATACTCAAAATATGAGTTAGAGCCTTGTTAAGATCAAGTGAAATGTCCTGTATATATTACACTGAACTATGCACCTCTGTAAAAGTTCTGAAGTCACGTGATCATGCTAACAAAGAAAAGTTTCACTGCACAGGAAAATATATATATATATATATATATAATCCAACTATATGAAATTAAAAGAAATACGTACTTGAGCTTTGCCACTGTGTTCTCCACCAAAGCATAATTGAATAAAAAGCCAATAAAAGAGCAGTTCCAGCCATTATTACAGCCAGACCAATTATGTCTCTGCCCAGTATTCCGATCAACCAGCCGCCCCAAATAATAAGAACCACAACTGGAGAAATCACAACAGCCCATGCAATGAGAGACAGGAAACCACACAATATATCCAGCTGTGGTCCTTGCAGGATATTCGGCCATTTTCTAGCAAAGATCCAACTGAAACACATGCAGAACAAGCATATGAAGAAAATTACAAACACAATAGTTTTAAAATTCATTAAAAAAACATAATTTTAAAAGAGCACAAAGAAGATTCTCCATGATGTGCTATCTTTTCAATCTACATTAATGGAAATTACAGAAGCAACATGGCTTCCTCATCCTTATCCTTGTGTAAATCACTTGGTTGCAAAAATAATTTAAAGTTTCACCTAAGAAAATGTCTATCATATAGTAGATACCCTGCCAAAACTTGACTATGCAGATACCGTATCCAATCTCTTACCCACCAATTTTCCACTTTAAGGTTATCCAACAACCCAATTACTGAGATTTTCTATTTGCCCATCCCCCAAAGGAAATAGACTTATGTGTAGAGAAGATAAAGACTACTATTATTCAAGCATCTAAATTCTAATAAGATATTTCCAAATGTACCAGTTAGATAATCCAAAATAATCTTTTAGAAGAAAACAAAGAAGGACGATGACAAAACTTAAGCAGTTCCTAGAATGTAATCAAAAGTCAAAACAGTTTTACAGCATATATGATACATCCAAAAGTGCCCAAAGTCATGTCCTTGCATTGCATAGTCCAACCATGGACTAAGAACACAGCATTCCTGCTTAGTTGGCCATGTTATGTACTCTTTCTTTAGTGTTCTAAAACGGGAAAATTCAAGCACTACCAAGCAAAAAACCTACCATTTCTTCTAAAAAAATTGTTGCCTTTCTTGATACTATTAAGCAAAAGAACATAACAGCCATAACAGTTAGCAAGCCAGAAACACGTTTCCACTAAGAAGAAGTGGCACCAATAAGATACTTTAAATTTCTAAAGAATCTCAAGTAACAAGAAGTAAAAGATGCTGACAAGACTTGTGCAGTTACTACGTCCTAACTCTGAATTAAGAGCATCATTTTTGTTTGTTTGGAACTTGGGGGGTAGGTGGACCGAACTCTAGGCCTCAACATTGGGGCGGGTGTGGAATTACCTCTAGGCTAAGTCTGCAACCTTAGTTAAAATACTTTTGCATCTATACACATCCAAATGTGTCCCTAACACAACCACAAGCTAAAGCACTGCATTTAAATTTTAAGCTTACACTTTTGGTCTCAGTGGAAAAAATTAGTAAAAAATGTGAACTGATAAATAGCCATTTCCAACACTAAAATGATACCAATTTGAGAATCCTAAGGTCGTGTTCTTTTCACCATTCAAATCACAATTCAACATTTTTGCTACCATGTTTTCTCTCATAAAAATTTGAATTTCAGCTCAAGTTTTTCTCTCGAACCCGCAAGAAAAAAACAAGGTGTGAACTTTCACTACAGTCCCTAGTTTGAACTAAAACTGTGTCCAAAATCCAAACATATAAGAATGTCCCAACAGCCCAACACTAAAAACAAAGGAAACTCACCAATTAGAGAGACAATTCTAAGCATTGTCCGTATAAAGGTCCAAGTTTTTTTTTTTTTTAACCAAAAACGTATACCCAAAATCCAACCATAATTGAAGGGGACAAAAAAAAAAAATGAATTTCAGCTCAAGTTTTTCTCTCGAACCCGCGAGAAAAAAACGAGGTGCGAACTTTCACTACAGTCCCTAGTTTGAACTAAAACTGTGTCCAAAATCCAAACATATAAGAATGTCCCAACAGTCCAACACTAAAAACAAAGGAAACTCACCAATTAGAGAGACAATTCTAAGCATTGCCCGTATAAAGTTCCTAGTTTTTTTTTTTTTTAACCGAAAACGTATACCCAAAATCCAACCATAATTGAAGGGGACAAAAAAAACTGCATTTTGTCTCATACTTGCGGCCTTGGAAACATAATAATTATAACAACAATGTGAAGTGAAAAATACCAATTTCGACACTAAAAATAAAAGGAAAAAAATAATTAAATCACCTGTAAATTCTCCAAGGCCTCCAATTGACTGCCCAGAGTAAAGAAAACGAAGCCAAACCCAAAACGGAGAAAATGGTCCCCGATATCACGCACGCCAACACCACCTCATGCTCATCGCCTTCCCCTTCCATGGCCGCCCACCTTCCTTCCTTCCTCTCTCGCCTCTGCCACAGCATGCAAAAAAAGAAGAAACAAAAACGTCCATGAACAAGAAATCGGAGAATTGAGGAATAAAACAGAGAAAAAGCGTTGCTAATTTCTCACCTCCTAGACTTGGATACACAGGAATTGCAGCTCCATCGTAGGGGAAACTAGGGTTTGGAGCTCAAGAAGACGAAGTAATAAAAGCTGAAATTTAGGTTGAAGCTGAGGCTAGGGCTTTCCTCAGATCAATTCGGAGACGAAGAAGAAGAAGAGGGAAAATGTTGAAGATTTCTAGGGTTTTGAGTTGTTTGGCTATGGTGGATTTTAGCTTTATCTTTGTTTTTTGTTTTTATTTCTCTGGGTTTTCTCACAGAGAAAGAGGAGAGAGAAGAAGAAGAAGAAACAAAGAGTAAAGATAAAAACCCTACTCTCCCTCTCTCTCTCTGTGTTTTTGTCTGTCAACTGTTAAAAAAATTCACTTTTTAATTTAATTTTTTCAAAAAATGGAAAAAAGTGAAAAGAGAAGAAAAAAAATTGGAATAATGATAATAATAAAATATGGAAATGTTTTTTTTTTTTTTCCAGACAGAGTGGTTAAAATAACAGCTAAATCTCCGTAGCTTTGTCTTTGCATGGCAGTCACACACGCTCTTTGTAACGGCGCGTGTGTAGCACGCGCCACATGAGGGTTGTTTTGGTAAAATTAAGGCTTTAGAAGCTGTCAACTGCTTTGGAGTTCTAACAAAAAAAAGAAAAAATTGCTTTAGAGTTGAGAGTGGGGATGACAAATTTTAGTTTATGGGTTTTTTTCTAGAAAGGAAAATAATAATATATTCTTTTGGGGAATAATTTGTGGGGCTTTTTATAAAATTGTTTTGAGAAATATAAAAAAAAAAAAAAAATTGTGTTTAAGAGTCAAAGTGGTTGCAAAAGGAAGTGATACCTTGAATTAGTAGGTAAGGAATTAGAATTATGTCCGACTGCCTGTCAATACCAAATTATTTGTTTAATTAGGTAAAAAGAACTTGGGAAGGTGGAAAATCAGTTTTTTAGTCTATTGGGAATTGACTTTGAAGACCCAGAAAGAAAACATTAAAATTAAAAAATTAAAAAAAAATTGTAAGACAAAGAAACAATTTGGGAGGGTGGAAATCATGGTGTGTTAGGTTGGTTGGAAAGGAATGGAATGGAATTCTAGTTTGATGTTTTGTTGAATTTATAAGATTAAAATTATTTTGGGTGAATCATCATTCCTTCCTCATATGGGAGGAATGGCCATTCTAAGTTCTTTTTTTTATTTTTTTTCATAATTACCCTTCAATATTATAATATAATTAAAATATATTATATAGTAGTTATATCTTATAATATATAATAAAAATATTATA